AGTGATTAAGAAATCTCCAAATGGTGCGTATTTGGAATTCGACTGTATTAATGATAGAGCATATACGTACTTGTATGGTCTATCTACTCCTAATTTTTGCAGTTGATAACAGATGGGATGGATTTTATATTAGGCCTAGTAAACTATTTATGTGATGAATACTCGTGGATAGTTATTGTCCAAATTGGATATTTCTGTTGTACCATCCATAAGTCAATTGCCGTATGAGCTATCGCTATGCATTAGCCATTCGTTTGGATCACGTGCATTTGAATGTTACTCCGCCACGAAGAATCCATCTATAGGGTTATGCGTAAAGCGTTGTGGAAAGATTCATAAAACGGTGAGTCATTAAACAAATTATAAGGGTTAACTGAGTAGATATGTTAAGAGTTTGGTTCCAGTTTTACTATAATAACAAATACAATTGCAATCATCCGTGCAATATCATGAACCTTAATTCGAACATTACTTTGCAGGAATTGTGCCCCACAAACAATTTGCATCGTGGTAAGAGCTTTTGTTTAGTAGAATCGGAACATCCGTGGAAAAAATTGGATATGAATTTTGTAGGATTAGGACTCAGCCAATGCTATGTATTTTATTTACTTTGTAAAGGACGACTGAATCACATTCTTTCCATGGACAGAGTCGGAAACTCGCGCTCATCTTCCCCCTACTACATGATCTGGAAAGAGGGTCTAGGAACGACATCGCAACAATACGATCGGCACGCAACATCACTAGGTTGAATCACATTCTCTCCATGGACATAGGTTCGGAAACTCGCGCTCATTTTCTCTCCTACTACATGATCTGGCAGAGTTTGGAAAGAGGGTATAGCAACGACATTATCGGCACGCAACATCACTAGGTTGAATCACATTCTTTCCATGGCATAAATTCGGAAACTCGCGCTCATCTTCTCTCCTACTACATGATCTGGCAGAATTTGGAAAGAGAGTCTAGGACGACATCGCAACAATACGCTCGCCACGCAACATCGTTAGATTTATTAGCAAAGCCCGACATCTATTCGAGAATCTCTTCGTCTCGACGTATTGACAGTATTATACTGGTATAACCGGATTAAAACAACAAATTGATGAAAGAACTCGGGAATATCAGAAACCACGCAAAACTTTAACTTTTGTTCTGCTAATGGTGTGGCGGTGGCAGTGATCAAAACGGGAGTTATGGGGCTAAAGACACTTTCTTAAAGCAAGGTGAAATTTACATAACCGCTGGATCGTCTGCGTTATATTTATCACTAATTGTGTATTTCCGCTCAATAACTAGGACGTGTTGCCCAGAGATCAATATTAATCTGGCGATACTGTAAGTTGATATCATAATGGGTATTTGATAACAAGTTGATGTTAAATATTAATTATTGTTGGCATTATTATTAATTACCATCATAGATTTTATGTTTAACATATAGTATATTCGCTCAAACTGTATAATGTTATGTCGAAAGTTGTGCCCATATGACCTCGTAGATGCCAACCGTATGGTGAGATGTTTACTATACAGTACTACTGGATGATGTGTTGTTATATCTTAGTAAGGATCACTGAACTCAATTGACTATCTCAAAATATAGTGCGCCGTGGTATTATGTCAATACATCTATGATCAGCTCACGGTCGGTATGCACGACGACAACGTGACTTACGCTCAAAGAGTGGAATTCCTGCTGACATGCATATATCCTGTTTTCCCAAACAATGGGAGATGGTCTGGAAATTGTGAATCAACGTTTGATTCTGTGTGGGATAGTTAACGGCATGTGAGTAGGACGTGGAATCTAGTTTCGCCAAAATGGATATTCAACGGGTAAGCGATACAGCGGCCGAATTTATTATTGGTGACTCGTATGATTTGCCTTAAGATTATGGTTTACGGTGATCCCAAAGATCGGGAGAGACTGTTTCGTTTCACATGAAGATATTTCTATTGCTTACAACATCCACGCCCTGCCGCTAGTTTGACGATGAATATTCTAGAAGTGAAATATATAATGCTGCGGTTACCCAAGCTTCGGATAGCTGTTCAATATTACGGTAATATCTCTATACTTGTGCGTTCATAGTGATGCGTGAGTTCAAAGTCGACCAATTATTAACGCGTATACCATTTAATTTCAGCCAATTCGTGTCCAATTAACATATACGAATATCTTGCATATTGCTCTTCGTGGCAATTTTGCCAGATACAAATACAAGGAGGTAAAAGACTTTTGTGTGCATTTATCATCATATAATCGTAGAGGAAGAAACTTGCAATACTGAGCTTGGCTATTATTATTATATTTCAGGAAATGGACCTCGATCTGTCATTCGTTCCAAACTTATTCCGCGCCAAGGTTAGCATTTTTGCAAATGTTCGACTTTGATCAATTCACGTCTAAATTAATTATTTGTTTCATTTGTGATTCCAGCGTTCTGGCATGGTTCGAGAAATGCAACAAGGACAGAGCTTTATTCGTGTTTTCCGATTATGTATCAACGTTCACACTGTTGAATAGTCTCGTCTTCGATGCGTCATTTTCAGTTTCAACGAAAGCTTGGACGTTTTGGGTTAACTTTTCTATTGAAAATGTGTCTCGGTTTGTAATTCAAGATAATTACGACGTCATTATACCAAGGTTTTTAATTGAAAGTAACATTTTCACGTTATCAAATTAGATTCAGTTCAGATACTTTGATGGATTAAGTGGTTCAATTATCATTTATTGTAAAAAGTTATCATGTAGTCGAGTAAACTCAACTTTACATTATTTATATTAACAATAACAGTACATTAATGGTTTGCAATTCAATCAATTACTAAATTGTTCATGTCTATCTGGGAATTAACATCAATCCCCATGTAGCAGATTTCCCGTTTCCGTCTTTATGATTATCGTCAAGCACGGTCCGTCATTATCCCTATCCACTGTCCGTTTGCCCGAGAATGTAAAAAGACCGATGGTAAAGTTCCTCCCGGGCCGAATATCTTCCTGGTTGAGGTTCTCGAATTTCCTCTTCGTCTTCTTCCTTGTTTAAGCCTCCAGTTCGGTAGTGACTACGTACAATTCTTGCCGTTTCAGCAAGGAAGGACAAAGGTCCTTCACGTAGTTTGTTTTTCTTACTGCCACTGGCGCCCCCCCCC